AATGTGACAGGAGTGGAGACCATGGGCATTTGGGCTACTTCCTCATGCAACTTACTTGTGCCTTCAGGTTCTGTTTGGGCCTGATCTCGTATATACCACTTCCATTTAATGATGGAGTGCTGCTGCGCATGCCCAACTTTATGACTCTGTGGGACAGACAACACCCAGTTCATAATGGACAGCTTAGGCTTCATAGTGACTTGGTGGCCTATAGGTAAGTGTTCAGTCTCTACTAAGGCCTAGTAACAAGCCAAAAGCTGTTTCTCAAATGGAAAGTAGTTATCTGCAAAGGATGGCAGGGCTTGGCTCCAAAATCCTAAGGGTTTGGGCTGTTATTCACCAATAGGGGCCTACCAAAGACTCCAATCTGCTACTGACACTTCAGGCACCATTGGATCAGCCAGATCTTATGGCCCAAGTGGCAGAGCAGCTTGCATGGCAGCCTAAACCCGTTGCAGAGCCTTCTCTTGTTCGAGGCCCCACTCAAAACCAGCAGCTTTTAGAATCACTTGACAAATAGGCCAGAATAGCACACCCAAATGAGAAATCTGCTGCCTCCAAAATCCAAAGAGGCCCACAAGGCATTGTGCCTCCTTTTTAGCTGTGGGAGGAGCCAGATGTAATAATTTATCCTTCACTTTAGATGCTTTACACCAATGGACCCCTAGAAATTTCACTGAGGTAGAAGGTGTCTGAATTTTTGTGGGATTAATTTCCCACCCTCCAGCATGCAAATGTTTTACCAGTAAGTCCAGAGTCATTGACACTTCTTCCTTAATAGGCTCAATCAGCATAATGTCATCAATGTAATGGACCAGTGTGACGTCTTGTGGAAGGGAAAGGTGATCAAGGTCCCTGCGGATGAAATGATGACATAGGGCTGAAGAGTTGAAGTAGCCCTGAGGTAGGCAAGTGAGGGTGTATTGCTGGCCTTGCCAGCTGAAGATAAACTGCTTCTGATGGTCTTCAAAACAGATATGGAGTAAAGTCATTAGCCAGATCAATAGCTGCATACCAGCTACTAGGAGATGTATTAATTTGCTCAAGCAATGAAACTACATCTGGAACAGCAGCTGCAATTGGAGTCACCACCTGGTTAAGTTTTCGATAATCTACTGTCATTCTCCAAGATCCATCTGTTTTTTGCAGAGGTCAAATAGATGAGTTGAATGGGGATGTGGTGGGAACTACCACCCCTGAATCCTTCAAGTCTTTGATAGTGGCAGTAATCTCTGCAATCCCTCCAGGAATGTCGTATTGCTATTTTCTTAGGCAGGAGCAGTTCTAATGGGTTCCACTTGACTTTTCCTACCATAATAGCCCTTACTCTATTTGTCAGGGATCCAATTTGGGGGTTCTGCCTGTTGCTGAGTATATCTATTCCAATTATGCATTCTGGAACTAAGGAAATCACTACAGGATGGGTTTGGGGATATGAGATGGACATAAGCCAAAACTCCATTAATAACCTGACTTCTATATGTCCCCACACTCACTAGTGGGCCACATTCACACCCTTCCCTCACAAAGGGAATAGCTTGGCTCTAGGTCCTGTAGTCTCTGAGGTGTCTGCCCTGCTGTAGCTTCTCTGTGATGACAGACAGCATAGCCATCCATCAATCCTTCTATGTCACCTTCTATGTGAAGCATCCCTGCTGGTTAAAATGAATGCTTCCCACTCCATACTCCCACCACACTTAGCAATAGGCATGTTTTTCCTTGGATAGTTCCTTGTGAGCAAGGAAACACACCCATATTCATGTCTGCAGCATCTCCTCTGACACTCCACATATTCTTAGCATGGATGGATAGATCGATGGACGATGCATGAATGGATGGAAGGGGTTGGTCAATACATGGAGTATGGATGAATTGAATAAATAACTGGATAGATGGATGGTAACTGGCAGACAGATGACAGATGAATCATTGGTTTTTGAAGTGAAGATATATGGTGGCTAGATGATGAAGGGGTGCTAGATAGGTTGATGAGAGATGGAGGTAAGGTTATTGATGGATTAGTGGATTGACTGACATTAGATTGATGAAAGGATATTGATGGATTTGATGGACTGGTGGTTGAATAGATGGATAATAAGATGATGAATGGATAGATGGATGGGTGGATGGATGACTATTCTAGAATCACAGTTGAGGCAGGGTCTCAGGAAATCTAGAAATGGGCTACTACTGAGTTATAATTTAGGTAGTTTCTAAATTAGCCAAGATAAATTGTGACTATCTTTGTTCTTAATATCCTCATCCCCAAAATTCAGGATAGTGGTTACCTCTGGGAAGAAACTGGGAGAATGGAACCAGAACGGGATACCCAGGGATTTTCAGTTAAATCTGTAATGGTTAATTTCTTAAAAATATATCTGAAACCAAGAGAAGCAAAATATCAAGCTTTGATAGAACTGGGGGGTTATCATAGAATTGTTCATTATGTTATTATTATTTTTACTTTTCTGACATATAAAATATTTCACAATAAAAAAAGGAAAGAAGAAATTACTTGTATGTTGAGATCCAGAGGTTAACACTGCTCCTGCGAGAAAAGAAATTGTCCAGGCAGATTTTTCAGGTAAAGGGGGCAGCTGAAATGATGAAGCCTGGGCCAGGTTTACAGGGTGGGACTTATGTGGCCACAAGAATGAATGCACTTATCATCTTCAGTGACACCTCCTAGAGTTCCTCTTCTGTCTTCTGGTGCAGGCAGTGAACCATGACAGCAGAGGTAGTGGTTTTACACCCAGCCAAGATAGCAACTTTCTGCAGAGATCACAGGTTACAGCAGAATTCAAGAGTGATGTCCCCTCCCTCAAACTATATAGACACAGTGTTCTACCCCCACCTTATTTCTGAAGACAGCACAGGATAGTAGAAAGTAGACCAGCAGGCGTGGGTCCTGGGTCCTAGTCTTGCCTCCATTATTAATTAGAATTGTGATTTGAGCCAATTACACATCCTCTCTGTCTCTGTTACTTTAACCAGAACCAGTTGTCATCAAGTCAATTACAACTCATGGCAACTCCATGTGTTTCAGAGTAGGACTGTGCTCCATACGGTTTTCAATGGCTGTGATTTTTCAGAAGTAGATCACTAGGCCTTTCTTCTGAGTGCTTTAAGTGTTTCAGTATCCAAGGGCTCCTCTGTTACCTTGTCTCTGTTAAAAAGCGTATAATGTTCTCAAAGCTGAATGTCTAAAGAGAGGCAGTTTGGAGTGGTGGTTAAGAGCATTGACTCTCAATATCATTGCCTGAATTCAAATCTCAGCTCCGCCACTTGCTAGCCATTAACCTTGGGCAAGTCATTCAGCTTCTCTGTTTGTCAGTTTTGCCAGCCGTGGTTTTGCTGTTGTTGTGTGCCATCAAGCTGATTCTGACTCATAGCGGCCTTATGTGACCGAGTGCAACTGCCCCATAGGGTTTCCTAGGCTGTAATCTTTATGGGAGCATATTGCCAGGTCTCTCTGGACAGAGCAGCTGGTGGGCTCAAAGTGCCGATCTTTCAGTTAGCAACTAAGCACTTAATTATTGTGCCACCAAGGCTCCTCAGCTTCTCTGCCCATAGATGGAGATAATGACTGTCCTATCTTATAAGACGAGTTAATCCATGAAAGGGCTTAGAAGGGCACCAACACACAGTAAAATGTGTGCAGAATTGCTGGAGGTCCAGATAAGATGACTCACACAAAAGCACTTTAGAAAGTACAGAATATCATTTTACTATGAGGCCTAAAGGAAAATAGCCTGACATCCAGCCCAATGCATATTGGATGTTGCTTCAAAGTTAAACAAGATAATATGCAAATGAATGGCTGTGGCTGTGTTCCAATAAAACTTTACTTATGGACACTGAAATTTGAATTTCATGTAATTTTCACAGGTTGTGAAATATTGTTCTTCTTTTGATTTTTTAAACTACTTAGAAATATAAAAATCATTCTTAGATCATGAGTCATAAAAAAAATAAACAATGGGCAAGATTCTAAGACAAGCCCCTGAGAAGCCCAGATTAATGCTTGGAGAGTTATTGACACAAGCCCAGAATCTTTTTCCCTCTTTAAAAATAAAAAAAGTAAAAAAGGAGACCTTGCTGAAGAAGAAGCTCATCTCAGCCTCTCTTGGAGTTGGACTAGTCTGTCCAGCATAACTTTGCCCCAACTTTTCTGAGCCACGGGGTTCCCATAGTGGCTCCTGAAAGCCACATTCATATAAGTTGCCCATCCTCCTAATTACATTGAGTGGGACCAAGGATAGGCATCCAAGCAAAGCTGGGACAGAGAACTTCTTTCCTAAATGATCTGGAATTGGGGCTAAGCACTTCTAACATGAAAATGCTAAAACCTCTAAAGCAACAGAGAGGGTCTTACTACTTTCTGGAATCAAAAGGGAGTTCTGAAACTCAGGAGCAGGTGGGATGGTCATGTGAACTGGAAGCAAAATGTAACCAGAGGAGAAGTAGATGGATAGAAGGCAGACTCCATGATGGTGGGGCCACGGTTAGTGTGCACTGGCTCCCCAGAGCCTAGTATGGTGCCTGGTACATAGTCACCTCTCAGCATGGATTTGCTGAATAAGTTAAAAGGCACAGGGAGAAGTAGAGGTCAGAGAGAGAGCAACAGCAGAGACAGATGCATCTCCAAGCCCAGGAACGCCATGAACGGCCAACAACTACCGAAGCAGAAAGCGACAAGGATCTTCCCTTAGAGCAGACAGAGAGCACCTAGCCCTGTTGACACCCTGAATTCAGGCTCCTGGTCTCCAAAACTGTGAGACAAAATATCCGTGTTCTTTAAAGTCACCCACTTGTGGCATTTTTCTTTAAGGCAGCAGTAGCTAGCGAAGACCTTGAACAAGGTGTCTCATTGTCCTGCTTAGCCATTCTCACTTCCATAATTATTTGACGATGTCAGTTGGAACCTTGGCAAGAAAGACCCCTGAGATTCCAGGAGAGCAGAGCAAAGGGTTTAGGCAGCTATCCAAAGTGAGACCTACCTCGGCTGCGGACCTGCTTTCATTCTTGATGAGGACAGCAGTGAGGGCCACGCCACTCTCAGAAATGGCCCAGTGGAAGAGGTTCTTGGCCAGAGGAGATAAAACCTGTCAGGGGAGTGGAGAGGAGGAGAATTTATGGTCATGGGGAGGGGGTCAATGGTACATTTGTTCTTCCAGAGCTATCTCCATCCAAAGCTCTGCCCTGGCCCATTGCTCTGGAGGCAACTCAAGGAGGTTTAGGAGTATGTAAGAGGACTCAGTGGACGTAATACCTCCTCATCTGCCCTGGGCTCTTCCCCTAGACTGACCCAGGTGCCTGGCTTCCCTTAGAGAACCTTAGCAGGGTGGACCAGGAGCACAAGTTGAGGCCAGAGTAGGAAGTGTATAGCAAGCCTGTATTAACAACCAAAAGTACTCTGAAGGACAGCTTGGCAATTCCCATCAACACTTTAAAGACACATTTCTGAGTTAGCGTTTCCATTACTCAGAATTTATCTTAAAGCTAAAATGATCAAGGAGGCACACAAAGGTGTATAAGGATGTTTATGCTGCAGTGTTTGTAAAGTAAAACACTGGAAATAACCCAAGTGTCAAATATTATGACGTTGGTTAAATAAATTAATTTGCATTATTACCAGGAAAGACTACGTAAACATAAAAATAATATTACGGAAGAATATTTATTGCTATTCTTGTTGTTGTTGTTGTGTGCTGTTGAGTTGATTCCGACTCATAGTGACCCTATAGAACAGAGTAGAATTGTCCCATAGGATTTCCAAGGCTATGATCTTTACCAAAGCAGATTACCACATCTTTCTCCCACAGAGCAGCTGGTGGGTTGGAACCACGGACCTTTCAGTTAGCAGCCAAGTATTTAGCCACTCCATCACCAGGGCTCCTTAAGAATAATATTATGGAAGAATATTTAATGCTAAGGGAAATACTTATGTTATATTGATACGTTCAGGAAGGCTTTTTGACAGATACCAGTACCAGCTGCCATCAAGTCAATTCTGACTCATGGAGATCCCATATGTGTCAGAGTAGAACTGTACTCTACAGGGTTTTCAGTAGTTGACTTTTCAGACGTAGGTCACCAGGCCTTTCTTCTGAGGTACCTCTGGTGGACTCACTCTAACTGCCAACCTTTCAGTTAGCGGTCAGGCACGTTACCTGTTTTGCACTCTAGGAACACCTTTAGATAGATAGATAGATGATAGATAGACAGATTGATTGATTGATTGAATGAATCATGGAGAAAATACTAGAAAAATACATATTGAAATGATAATGGTGAGTATCCCTGGGTAGTTCAGTTGTGGATCTTTTTTCTTCTTTGGGCTTATCTATACTTTTCCTTTTTCTCCACTTTAAAAAATATGTAAGATTTCCCTCTCAGTATTCAACTATGAAGCCAATATATGTTTTAAAAACATGGTGATAGCACTGACCCTCTGCTCAACTGTGAGGTCCTAGAGGGTTTCTCACAGCTCCTAGCACCTTCTGATCTCGTTTTCCACCTTAGCTTCCCTGAGTGTCTCCCCAGCCCCATTCCCACACCAGCCAGACACCTTGTGTCTTAGGCTGGGTTCTCTAGAGAAGTAAAACCAATGAAGTATATAAATACATATATACAGAGAGATTTTTATCAAGAAAATGGCTCACGAGGCTGTAGAGGCTGGAATGTCCCAAGTCCATTCGTCAGGATAGAGACTTTTCCTGATTCACGTAGCCGCAGGGGCTGGAAAACCCAAGATCAGCAGATCAGCGAGCAGGGCACTTGCTCACAGGCTGCGAAGATGGATGAATACCAAGATTGGCAGGCAAGGACACAGGTAAGCTGCTAGCTGTAGTCCCAAGAACCAGAGGTCAGAGGAACAGGAGCCAGCTGCAGGATCCAGCAAAAGCAAAAAGCCCCCAAGGTTTGCCAGAATTTCAGCTTGTATTTGATGCAGGCCACAAGCTCAAGGAAACTCCCTTTCAACTGATTGACTACTCACAGCAGATCCCATTATGGGGTGATCACGTATCATATCTCAACAGGAAAGTGATCACAACATTATACCACTGCCAAAACATTGAGAATCGTGGCCCAGCCAAGTTGACACACAATCTTTTCTTTTCTTTTTATTGTTGTGCTTTAAGTGAAAGTTTACAATTCAAGTTAGTCTCTCATACAAAAATGTATACATACATTGTTTTGTGACCCTACTTTCTCTCCCTATACTGTGGCAGCACACTCTTCCCTTCCACCCCGGATTTCCCAGGTCCATTCAACCAGACCCTCTCTGCCTTCTCATCTTGCCTCCAGATGAGAGCTGCTCATTTAATCTCATGTATCTACTTGAGCAAAGAAGCACACTCTTCACCAGAAACATTTTCTCTCCCATAGTCCAGTCTAATCTTTGTCTGGAGAGTTGCCTTCGGGAATGGTTTTAGTTTTGGGCTAACAGAGAGCAGGGGGCGACGTTTTCTGTGTTCTTGCCAGTCTCAGTCATACCATGAAGTCTGGTCTGTTTTTACTAGAATTTGAGTTCTGCACCCCATTTTTCTCCTGCTCTGTCAGGGATTTTCTGCTGTGTTCCCTGTCAGGGCGGTCATTGTGGTAGCTGGGCACCATCTAGTTCTTCTGGTCTCAGGCTGATGAAGTCTCTGGTTTATGTGGCCCTTTCTTGTCTCTTGGGCTAATACTTTCCTTGTGTCCATGGTATTCTTCATTCTCCTTTACTCCAGGTGGGTTGGGACAAATTGATGCATCTTAGATGGCCGCTTGCTAGGTTTTAAGACCCCAGATGCCACTCACCGAAGTGGGATGCAGAACATTTTCTTAAAAACCTTTGTTATGACAATTGACCTAGATGTCCCCTGAAAGCATGGTCCCCAGACCTCTGCCCCTGCTACTTTGTCCCTTGACGTGTTTGGTTGTATTCAGAAAATTTCTTAGCTTTGGTTTAGTCAAGTTGTGCCGACTTCCCCTGTAATGTGTGCTGTCCTTCCAGTCACCTAAGACAATTCTTGTCTACTTTCTAGTTAGTGAATACCCGTCTCCCTCCTTCCACACCCTCATAACCGTCGAAGAATGTTGTCTTCTGTGTTTAAACCTTTTCTTGGGTTTTTCTAACAGTGGTCTTATACAATATTTGTCCTTTTGTGACTAAGTTCACTCAGCATAATACCTTCCAGATTCCTCCATGTTATAAGATGTTTCACAGATTCATCATTGTTCTTTATCATTGGTTAGTATTCCATTGTGTGAATATACCATAATTTGTTTATCCATTCATCTGTTGATGGGCACCTAGGTTGTTTCTATCTTTTTGCTATTGTGAACATGGGTGTGCATATATCTATTTGTGTGACAGCTCTTACTTCTCTAGGATATATTCCAAGGAGTGGGATTGCTGGATCCTGTGGTACTTCTATTTCTAGCTTTTCAAGGAAGCACCAAATTGATTTCCAAAGTGATTGTACAGTTTAACATTCCCACCAACAGTGCATAAGTGTTCCAGTCTCTCCACAAACTCTCCAACATTTATTCTTTTGTGTTTTTTGGATTAATGCTAGCCTTTTTGGGGTGAGATGGTATCTCATTGTAGTTTTGATTTGCGTGTCTCTAATGGCTAATGATTGTGAGCATTTCTTCATGAGTCTGTCAGCCACCTGAATGTCCTCTTTGGCGAAGTGCCTATTCACAGTCTTTGCCCATTTTTTAATTGGGTTTTTTGTCCTTTTGTTGTTGAGGTTTTGCAGTATCTTGTAGATTTTATAGAGTAGACACTGATCAGATTTGTCGTAGCCAAAATTTTTTTCCCAGTCTGTAGGTTGTCTTTTTACTCTTTTGGTGAAGTCTTTTGATGAGCATAAGTATCTGATTTTTAGGAGCTCCTAGTTATCTAGTTTCTTTTCTGGTGTTTGTGCATTATTACTTATGGTTCATATTCTGTTAATGCCATGTAGGGCTCCTACCATTGTCCCTATTTTTTCTTCCATGATCTTTATCGTTTTTTATTTTATATTTAGGTCTTTGATCCATTTTGAGTTCGTTTTTGTGCATGGTGTGAGGGATGGGTCTTGTTTCAGTTTTTTGCAGATGCATATCCAGTTCTGCCAACACCATTCGTTAAAGAGACTGTCTTTTCCTCAGTTAACGGACTTTGGGCCTTTGTCAAATATCAGCTGCTCATAGGTGGATGAATTTACGTCTGGCTTCTCAATTCTGTTGCATTGGTCTATGTATCTGCTGTTGTACAAGTACCAGGCTGTTTTGACCACCTTGGCGGTATAATAGGTTCCAAAACTAGGTAGCGTGAGGACTATCACTTTGTTCTTCTTTTTCTTCAGTAATGCTTTACTTATCCAGGGACAATTCCCTTTCCATATGAAGTTGGTGACTTGTTTCTCCTTCTCATTAAAAAATGCCGCTGGAATTTGGATTGGGATTGCATTGTATCTGTAGATTGCTTTGGGTGGAATTGACATTTTCACGATGTTGAGTCTTCCTATCCATGAGCAAGGTATGTTTTTCCACTTATTCAGGTCTCTTTTG